GATATTCACAAAAGAGACCACATAAGTAGCCAGAACGGGAGAGAAAGACAACTAGAAACAAGATATGAACACACCAATCTAAACAACATAACTTTAACAAACACAAACGGAAACAGAAACATTATCTAGCACATGTCTCACTGCAAGAACAAGCTTTCACAATTAGTAAAAGTAATGAAATGAGAAAATATGAAAGACATAAAAGTTTGAACGCACTCCACTATTGCCAAAATGCTAACTTGTAAAGCACGATATAAAATAGAAAGTAAAACTGAGAGAGGGACATAACAAATGAAAACTAAGTTCTTCCTCCCCTCCCAATAATAAAATTAAATGAATGATCACCCTCTGTCTTTTGCACTATATATATGTACATCCTTTGCTCTCATTCAACTCAATGCAATTTATTACTTTGGCAATCATTCTGATCTCCTCCAATGTAGTACCCATGTATTTTATTTTCTTTCTCCACACCAAAATGAAACGAAACTATATATATACATTCTYCATTCCTTCAGAAGACATGAAAACATAATGTCTAACTAATTTTAYGGGGTGGTAAATGACACAACGAATAATTCTACCATGACCAACATGCTTCTCAAGATCATACGATATGTTTCAGCTCAAGAATATAGTCAATAACATGAGGCGTTAACAGTGACCGAGAACCATACCTCAATATACCGTTACAATATATGTGGTTCATGCCGAGGGTATTGCCCAAATGTATTTGATGGAACCCTTCACTGAACAAAAATTTTCAATCTCCAACATGCGGCGGCCAACAAAACGACACTGAGTTACATGAACGGGGAAGCCAAAAAACAAGATAGCACATATACTACGAAAAGTATATGTGCGAGAGTATGAACTCTGCCAACTCCCTCCTGATCACATCTAAGTGCTCCTAGAGCATGACATCAAAGTACATCAAATATGGATAGTATGATTAAACTTGTTGTCAAACTTCAAGAGCATGAGATCATCCCATGAAAGACATCGTAGGGAGGACCATCCCAATAAAGAAACTACGATGACGTATAATGGTCATTAAAAGGAGAAGTTTCCTAGAAACAAACAAACTTGCAAAGATATGGAGGCTGACAAATATCTAAATATAGTATCTAACTTGGTTAGTCTAACAATTAGACAACTCTCATAAGGTATAATTTAACTAAATTAACATGGAAAAAATAGAAACCTTCCTATTTTTATTCCTATTCCTATTTCATATTCCCTAAAATATAGCAAATACACGCACTTGTTTTTTTTTTCCTTCCCCACTCATTTTCCTTGTGTATATAGCAAAGGGATTGAAGAAAAATTATTATGATTGTTGTGTATATAAGAAA